TGCCCGCCCTGCGTCGCGGGTGGATTCCCCGGCCCGCCGCGGCAGTTGGTGAACGGCCAAGCAGGCGGCCGCATGACGCCGTCACAGCAATTCGACTCGCCGACGAGCTACGGGCCGACGCCCGAGATGGCGCCCTACCCGGCCGAAGCAGTTCCTGCCGAAGGCGCCTCCATGCAACAAGGCCCGAGCTTCTATCACAGCGGGTCAAACTCGCCGGCGCCCACAACAGAAGGAGCCGACGAGCCGACCCGGACCGGCCCACCGGTCCACTACCGCGCCTCGACGCCGCAGGGCTTAGTGCGTCAGGCGGCTCGGCCTTACCAACCCTCGGCCATCAAACCGATGACGACGGTCAGCGATTCCGGTTTGATCGGTCCGGTGGGTTATGACGAAGAGTGACATCCTCGGCGTTTTCGCCGACGCGTCACCGGGAATGAGCTAACTTCTATTAGCCCCCAAGCCTAGCGCCAGGCCCGTTCGAGCTGTCGTCACCTTTCCGTCGTTGCCCCATGTCCAACGTGCTTCGAATAGCGATCGTCGATCCCAATGACGGGGACCGCGAGGCGCTCAAAGCTACGCTGATGGGCCTGGACACCGTGTGGCTCGAAGCGGAGTGCTCGCGTTACGCGTTTTTCAAGGATGTGATCGAGCAAACGGGCCCGGATGTCGCGTTCATCTCGATGGACGCCGACCCCGAAAAGGCTGTCGAGCTGGTGGAGGAGCTAGCTCGCTCCAAGCCCGAAGTCGCGTTGCTGGTCGCCAGCAGCTCGACCGATGGCGCGCTGATCCTCCGCTCGATGCGGGCGGGAGCCAAGGAGTTCCTCACCAAGCCGCTGCGCCCCGACGACCTCGCCACGGCGCTCCAGCGAATCGGCAAGACCAAGTTCGGCAGCGAAGCAGGCGGCGCCGGCGCTTGCCGCGTCATCGCCGTCGCCGGATGCACTGGTGGCGTCGGCTCGACAAGCCTCGCGATCAATCTCGGCTGCGAACTTGCCAGCAACCCGAGCAACTCGGTCGTGGTCGTTGACCTAGATCTGGCGCTCGGCGACGCCGATGTCTATCTCGACACCATCCCCGAGTACACGCTCACCGACGTCGCCCAGAACATCTCGCGGCTCGATTTCACGCTGCTGAAGCGCTCGTTGACCAAGCACAGTTCTGGCGTGTATTTGCTGCCACGCCCGGTGCAACTCGAAGACGCCAAGCTCGTGTCGGTCGATGACTTGCAGCGTGTGATCTCGCTGCTGCGGGCCACCTTCACGCACCTGATCATAGACACATCTAAGGCGTACAACGAGCTCGACCTCTACGCGATGGACCTCGCCAACGACGTGCTGATGGTCACCCAGCTCGACCTGCCCTGCCTGAGGAATGTCGTGCGGCTGATGATGTCCTTCGAGCAACGCGGCACGCTGCGTGAGAAGGTGAAGATCATCGTCAACCGCGTCGGCCAGGGCGGCGCGTCGATCAGCGTCAAGAAGGCCGAATCGACGCTTGGTCAAGAGATCTTCTGGCAATTGCCGAACGACTTCCGCACGATGATCGAAGTGCGGAACAACGGCGTGCCCCTCCTGGAGCAAGCGCCCAAAGCTGCGTTGACGCAGTCAATCACCCAACTCGCCCGCGAACTAACGGGGACTTGCCGCGTCCCTGGTGGCTCCGACGCAGGCTCGAAGTCCCGCAGCTGGCTAGGACTCTGGGGCAAGAAGGGCGAAGAAGCGACCGCAGAAGGCTGACAAGCAGCGTTTGGCGGTTCGCCGTGGACGAGCGTCGGAAACGCGCGGAGTTGCGTCAGGTACATGCGGGCCATCCCTGTACCTATTGCAACTCCGCGCTTACGCATTCCGGCTCCCTTTCTAACGGATGCTTCCGCATCTCTCTTGGCGGTCGTTCGCGTACCGCTTGTAGCGGCTTTGCCGCGCTCTCCGTGGGGCGCCCGATTCCCCTCGGTTCTCCCGCCGCGGCGTCGTGGGTGAGCTACGCTTTTGCGGACAAATCCGCGCCGCCCTCTGGGAGCGGCGTTTAGATGAGTTTGCGAAACACTGCTTGCCGCCACCGCCATGACAAAACTCAACACGCCCGCCTCGGTTGCCCTCTCCGCACAGGAGAAGGACCTCGAGTTTGAAACGCTCAAGCGCCGCATCCATTCGAAACTCGTTGATAAGCTCGACTTGTCGCGGGTCGGTGAGCTCGAAGGGGACGTGCTGCGTCGTGAGATCCGGCTGGTCGTCGAGCACCTGTGCGACTCGGAGGACACGCTCCTCAACCGTAAAGAGCGCGACCGTCTCGTTGAAGAAGTTCTCGACGAGACCTTCGGCCTCGGGCCGATGGAGATGCTGCTCAAGGACCCGTCGATCAGCGAAATCATGGTCAACGGCCCGAAAGCCGTGTTCGTCGAAAAGAGCGGCAAGCTCGTTAAGACACAGGTGACGTTCCGCGACAATAAACACCTGATGCAGATCATCGACCGCATCGTGTCACGCGTTGGACGACGCGTGGACGAAGTGTGCCCGATGGTGGACGCGCGATTGCCGGATGGCTCGCGTGTGAACGCGATCATCCCGCCGCTGGCGCTCGACGGCCCGAGCGTGACCATTCGACGATTCGGCTCGAACCCGCTCAAGCTTGAGGACCTCCTAAACTACCGCAGCCTCACGCCCGAGATGGTGATGCTGCTGGAAGCCTCGATGAAGGCCAAGCTAAACATCGTTATCTCCGGCGGTACCGGCTCGGGTAAGACGACGCTGCTCAACACGCTGTCGAGCTTCATCAGCAACGACGACCGCATCGTCACGATCGAGGACGCGGCGGAGCTCCAGCTCCAGCAGGACCACGTCGTGCGGCTCGAAACCCGCCCGCCGAACATCGAAGGCAAGGGCCGCATCAGCGCCACGGAGCTCGTGAAGAACTCGCTGCGTATGCGACCCGACCGGATCATCATCGGCGAGTGTCGTGGCGGCGAGACGCTCGACATGCTCCAGGCGATGAACACCGGCCATGACGGCTCTTTAACAACTTGCCACGCCAACACGCCGCGCGACGCCATCGCCCGTATCGAGACGATGATCATGATGGCGGGCTTCGAGATGCCCATCAAGGCGATGCGGACCCAGATCGCCAGCGCCGTGAACTTGATCGTGCAGGCCAACCGCTTGCAGGGTGGGCCTCGTAAGGTGACGCACATTACCGAAGTGCTCGGCATGGAGCAGGACACCATCGTCATGCAAGACATCTTCCGCTTCGAGAAGACCGGCGTCGACCAGAACGGCAAGGCGATCGGCCGCTTCGTCTCGACCGGCATCCGCCCGAGCTTCATGGACCGCCTCGAACAAGCCGGCATCCGCCTCCCCGCCAGCACGTTCCGCGAACGAGTGATGATGCAGGACTAGCGGGCAGTGGGCGGCGGCCAGTCGGCAGTAAGTCGATGGTCACCGCCAGCCTGCTGCAAGCACAACACTGCCCACCGCCTACTGCCCACCGCGCACTCCCATGTCTCCCCTCATTATCTCCCTTCTGGTCTTCGGCGGCGTCACTGGACTGGTGATTGCTGTGGCGATGCTTTGGGGGGGCGATAAAGAAGCCGATGTCGAGGACCGACTCAGCGCGCTTACTACCGGTAAGGGCGGCCTTGGCCGCGGCGGCAAGGAGAAAGGAAAGAGTGACACCGAACTGCTGGCCCAGACTTGGGACCGCGGCGCCGGCGCCTTCGAGCAAGCGATCGCCAACCACCTGAATCTCGAGCGACTGTTCCTGCAGGCGGACGTGTCGTTCAGCGTCAGCCAGTTCCTGATGGCGTGCGTCGGAGCGGCCTTGATAGGCTTCTTTGCGCCGACAACGCTCGGTTTACCGATCAAGTTCGCCCCGATCTGTTCAGCCGTCTTCGTTTTCATCCCGTTCGCGTGGCTGATCATGAAGCGGAAGCGCCGCATGAAGCGGTTTGCCGCCCAGCTACCCGAGGCGCTCGAGCTCATCTCACGCGCCCTGCGTGCCGGCCATAGCCTCGGCGCGGGCATGAACCTCGTTGGCGCCGAAATGTCGCCGCCGATCTGCCAGGAGTTCAGCCGCTGCTTCGAGGAGCAGAATCTCGGCATGCCGCTCGAAGAAGCTCTCGAGAACCTCACCGAACGCGTCCCAAACCTCGACCTCAAGTTCTTCGCCACGGCTGTCGTCTTGCAGCGTCAGACCGGTGGCGACTTGGCGGAGATCCTCGACAAGATCGGCCGCCTCATCCGCGAACGCTTCAAGATCTGGGGCCAGGTCCAAGCGTTGACCGGCGAAGGCCGCCTGTCGGGCATCGTGCTGTTAGCGCTGCCGCCCGCACTGTTCGCCGCCGTCTACCGTATGAACCCCGACTACCTAATGCTGCTCTTCACCGACGACCTGGGCAAGAAAATGCTCATCGGCGGAATCGTGATGCAGCTGTTAGGAGCGGTTGTCATTCAGAAAATCGTGAATATCAGGATATGACGGAGTCAGCAGTGGACGGTGGGCGGTCGGCAGTCTTGCCAAGGACCCCTCCACTCTCTGCTGAACTTTCCTGCCCACTGCCCACTGCCCACTGCTGACTCATGGTCCTCGCCCTCATGTCCACCGCTCTGATGGTCAAACTCGCCGTGTTCGGCGCGGTGGCCGCAGCGATGTGGTTTGCATTGGAGTTCTTCGGTGGATCGGGTAACGAACGCACCAGCGAGCGGCTCGAAGAGCTACGCGACCCGGGCGGTCGCAATGCGGGTCGTGAACGCAAGCAATCGGACAAAATGGCGAAGCTCATCGAGCGTGCCACGCCGACCATCGCTGCGCCGCTTCAACCGAAGACCAAGGAAGAGGCGGGCAAGCTCAAGCAGCGGCTCGCGCATGCCGGCTTCCGCACCGAGTCTTCGATCAGCGTCTTCCTCGGAACTAAGCTGTTGTGCCTCGGCTTTGGCTTCCTCGCCGGGGGCGGCGCCGCTTACTTCACCAAGGGTCTGACCGTCGACGCGGCGATTATCACGGTCGCCGCCGCGGGCGTGATGTTCTTCCTGCCGGACGTCGCCGTCTGGTTCATGAAGCGGTCGCGCCAGGACAACATCTTCTACGGCCTCCCCGACGCGCTGGACCTGATGGTCGTCTGCGTCGAGGCGGGCCTTGGTCTCGACCAGGCGATGCGGAAGGTAAGCGAAGAGATGCGCAAATCCTACGGCGTCCTCGCCGAGGAGTTCGCCCTGTGCAACTTGCAGTTGCAGATGGGCTCGCCACGCAACGAGGTGCTATCGGAGCTCGGCTCGCGTACCGGCGTGGATGACTTGAAGGCATTGGCGGCGATTCTGATCCAGGCCGACAAGTTCGGTTCGAGCGTCGCCCAGGCACTACGCGTGCAAAGTGACTCGATGCGGACACGCCGCAGTCAGATGGCCGAAGAGAAGGCCGCCAAGACTGCGGTGAAGCTGATCTTCCCGCTAGTGATCTTCATCTTCCCGGCGATCTTCGTCGTGCTGGTGGGACCGGCCGCGATCACGATGATCAACGAGATGTTCCCCGCCATGAATGGCAGCGGTTGAGCACCAAACGCTGGGCTGAGGGCCAAGACATTTAGGCTAACAGGGCGTTCAAATGGCCATGCATGCTCAACTGACTAGTTTCGACGAAGTCCGTCGCTAGCAATAAGAAAGCTGGGCAATCTGAGTCGCCCTCTCCGGTCATTCTCGAAGCTCCGTAGCCGGCGCTTGTGGGGACCGATACCCCAAGGACAGGGGCATTCACGCGCTGGGAGCGCGAGGCCCGGGGCCCGGTTCTGGTCGGGCGTGTTCCACGGACGGAGCGAATGATGAAGCGGACCCTGCTAGCTGCCGCCGCCCTCGCCGCGGCCGTCCCCGCAGACGCCTTCTGGCTTGGTGAGTTCTATTGCTATCTCGAAGAGCGTCGCGAAGAGCAGAACGCTTGGCCTGCCCAGTTCGTCGAGCAAGACCGTAACGCGACGGCGACGCCGTTCGACATCATGATCCGCAACGGCTGGCGCCGGCAGAACCTGCTCGGTAGCCACCATTTCAATGCGGACTGCACCGAGCTCACGCAGGCCGGCAAGCTCCGCGTCCAGTGGATCCTCACGCAGGCGCCGCCCGAGCATCGGCAGGTCTTCGTTGAACGTTCGCTCGACGCGGACATCACACAGAACCGCATCGCCACGATCAACGACTTCTCGACGCAAGTCGTCAACGACGGCATGACGCCGCAGGTGACCGAAACGAATCTCGTGTCAGACGGCCGGCCGGCAGTGACGGTGGACTTCGTCAACACCCAGTTCCGCGAGAACATGCCGACACCAACGCTGCCCGCCCCAACGACGGGCGGCGTTTCGGAGTAGCTCGGCGACATCAAGTTACTACCGCTAAACACGCACACGTCGCCACGACTGGCGGCAGACCCGGGGGGGAGCCACTGTGCGAAATCACCTGACCGCGGCGATCGCCGCCACGATGTCGCTCGCGGCGATTGACGCCGCCGCGGCGCCGGCTTCGATGTTGCACACGCTGCCGTCGGGCGCGCAGCCGTCCCAGTCGGCGCCGGCTGAGAAGGGGCCATTCTCGTGGGCAACCAAGTGGTTCCGCGATAAGCCGACCGAACAGGCTCCGCCACCCGAGGCTTCGCCATCGCCGATCCTGGCTTACCAACCGCCGATGAGCTCGGCGCAGCTGGCCAAACCTGCCGGCACGGCGACTCGCCCCTCGGCCACCAACGCGGCGTTTGCCGCAAAGCAGCCACCGGCGATGAACAGCGCTTGGCATGGCTTCGGCGGCGTTGCAATACCGGCAGTATCGACGCCTTCGGACACGACACCTATCCGACAAGCGCCGCGGACACCTATCAATCAGATCTCGCCGAGTATCGGCGCTACGTCGACGCCTGCTGACGAGGCTCGTTCCCTGCGTGAGCAGGGCCACGCCAAAGACCGCGCTGGCGAGCTTATCGCTGCTGAGCAGCTGTACCGCCAGGCGCTCGCCGCCGACCCCACCAGCGCCGCGTCGGTCAACGACCTCGGCCTCTGTTTGGCAAGACAAGGAAAGCTCGAACCGTCGGCGGCCATTCTGCGGCAGGCGATCACGATGCGGCCTGACAAGCAGCTCTACCGTAATAACATCGCAACGGTGCTCGTCGAGTTGGGCAAGACTGACGAAGCGCTATCGCACCTCCAAGCCGTCGGCAGCCCCGCGGCTGCTCATTACAACGTCGGCCAACTCCTCGCCCGGGGCGGCAAAGTGGCCGACGCCAAGACGCACCTCGAGAAGGCAATCCAGATCGAGCCCTCATTGGGCGCCGCCCGCGAAGCCCTAGCGAAACTCGACGCGCCTTCTGTTGAGGCGATTGCCGAGCAAGAACCGACTAAGTCAGAACCCATCGCCGTCGCGCAGGCGGCGCCGGCTACGCCACAACTGCCGCAGCCGTCTCCGGAAACGGATATCACGCCGCTTGAGCCCGCTGTCACCCGGCAAGAAGCCCTATCGGGCCCGCCGAGCTTCCCACGACTGTTGCCACCAGTGATCAACCGCTGATTGTGTTGTGGTAAGATCGTCTTGTTGGAATCATCAACCAGCGAGGGATCCATGGCGGAGGACTTGTCGCATCGTCACGGCCCGATCACGGGCCTCTTCGGCGCCGAGCCGCTTACACGACTCTCGGCGGACCATGTAGCCGCGTTTGAATCGGACGGTTTTATTGGCGGCGTTCGGCTTCTCACCGACCAACAGATCGAGGCTCTACGGGCCGAACTCGCCGACTTGATGCGGCCTGAGCACTCTGGTCGAGAGCTTTGGTACGAACACCATGCCAACGAATCGAGCGACGCCGGAACGACTCTGTTCCACGCACTTGGCGGTTGGCGGCTACGGCGGGCGCTTCACGATCTCTTGTGGAGTCCTACATTCGTCGCCGCCGCCGAGCGGCTGCTGAATGGGCCCATACGATTTTGGCACGATCAACTCTTCTGCAAGCCCGCCCACGACGGCGGCGTTGTGGCGTGGCACCAAGACTACAGCTATTGGACCCGCACCGTGCCCATGCAGCACCTCACGTGTTGGATCGGCCTCGATGACTCGACGCTCGACAACGGCTGCGTCCACTACGTGCCGGGCTCGCACCGCTGGCCGCTGTTGCCGCGTCCACAGCTCGCCGGCGACATGGAGGCGATCCGCTCAGTGCTCTCTTCCGATCAGCTCGCTGAATTCCAACCGGCGCCATGCGAGATGCGCGCCGGCGAGGCGAGTTTCCACCATCCGCTGATGCTGCACGGCAGTTACGAGAACCGCAGCGACCGCCCCCGACGGGCGATCGTGCTCAACGTCGTCCGCGACGGTACGGTCAGTGATCAAGATTCGCCACTCTTGGAGGGCGTCGATGCGGTCCCCCGAGGCGAGCCGCTCAGCGGTCGGTTCTTTCCGCTGCTGAGCAGCTAGGCGACATGTTGTGCCTTCTGCGCCTCTTCGTGGCCGAACTGAGCCCGCCAGAACAGCCGACGTTCGAGCAGTTCGCCCGGCACAAGGCAAACCAAAGCGAGCACGGCCATCACCGCCGATGGACCTGCGGCAACGGTGGGCGGGATGTTCTTGGCGCCGCCGGCGAGCAGCTGCGCCGCGAGTGGCAAGATGATGCCGCCGAAGATGCCTAGCGTGTAACGCAGCTTCGCGCTGCCCGCCAGCGGGCCAACCAAGCGCTTGGCGTGGTCCTGTCGCGGTGACGGTTCGCCACCGATTTTGGCGTAGAGCGTGGTCTCGGTGACGAGTTTCACGCCGACAGAAGTGACGAGCAGCAGCACCAGCACGGCGCCGTAGCCACCGAGCTTCTGCCCAAGCTCTGCGCGGTTGATCGTCCACACCGCGAGCGCTAATCCAAATGCGATCGCCAGCGGCGTTAGCAGCTCGAGCAGGTAGGCGTCGAAGCCCCACCACCCGCCCCGCGCCAGCGTCTCCGCACGGCGGCGGCTGATGCGCGTCGCTAATGAGTAGACCGCGAATCCAAGACAGCCCAGCAGCAGCAGCTCAACGATCGCCGGCGGCGGCGAGCTAGAGCCGCTCGTTTGGATGCCGATGCGGGCGAGAATCACGGCGGCGATGGTGATGACTTCGGAGAGCATGCTGATGGAGTTGAGGCAGGATGGGTAGCGGTTTGGTGGATCACACCGGGCGCTGACGCATTCCGGCTCACTGCGCCAGCGAAGGCTTGTCTAACGTTGCGCAGCGAGCCGGGATGCGTTAGCGCACGGAGTAGCGCCACGAATATTGCCTAACTATTTTGCGAGCGAGCCCCTTTACCCCGTCGTACGCATCCCCGCCGCGACACACTTGATCGATAGTTGCGACAAATGCCGTAGCTCCTCGGGAGGATCGGCCGTCTCACGGATACGGCGCATCACTTCGAGTTGAATCAGGTTGAGCGGATCGACGTAGCGGTTGCGGACCTTAATCGACTCCTTCAACCAGGGAACCGTATCGAGCAGCTCCTGTTCACCGGTCACCGCCAAGAGCGTCCGACGGGCCCGTTCGTACTCGGCGTCGAGCAACTCGGCGATCTCGGCCATGCCGGCGTCGGCGGCGGAGTTCTTGGCGTAACGGTCGAAAACCGGGCGGTTCGACTTCGCCAAAGCGAGTTCGGCGTTGCTAATCGTCGCCCGGAAGAACGGCCACTGCTCGTACATCTGGCGGAGCGTCTCCTGCCCCCCCTTCTCCGCCAGCAGCACCTCGAGCCCGGCGCCGAGGCCGTACCAGGCCGGCAGCAAACAGCGGCACTGCGTCCAGGCGAAGACCCAGGGGATCGCGCGGAGGTCTTCGATGGCGTCCCCCTTCTTCCGTTTGGCGGGGCGCGAACCGATCGGCAGGTTCTCGATCTCGCCGATCGGCGTCGCTTCCCGGAAGAACCGCACGAACGCCGGGTGCGTCACCAGCTCGCGGTACGCGGCGAGCGACGCCTCCGCCATCCGCTGCATCTGTTCGCGGTAGCCGCTGGTGGGCTTGGGCGGCGGCGTGGTCGTCGCCATCAGCACGGCCCAGATCACCTGCTCCAAGTGCCGGTGGGCGATTGCCGGGTCGTCGTAACGCTCGGCGAGGACTTCGCCCTGCTCGGTGAGTCGCAGCGAGCCGTCGAACGTCTCGGGCGGCAGCGACAGGATGCTCCGCGCCGCCGGGCCACCGCCGCGACCGAGCGAGCCCCCGCGGCCGTGGAAGAACGTCACATCGACGCCGTGCTTCTCCGCCAAGTCGTGGACGGCGATCTGCCCGCTCTGCAGCGCCCACGCCGCGGCGAGGTAACCGCCGTCCTTGGTGCTGTCGGAGTAGCCGATCATCACAGTCTGGCGGTCGCCGCAATCGCGAACGTGCTGGCGATAGGCGGGCGTCGCCAACGCCTTGCCGAGGATCTCGGTCGCCGACTCCAGGTCGCTGATCGTCTCGAAGAGCGGGATCGCCGGCAGGCAGAGGCATGGGTCCTCGGGGGCGCCGCCATCGACGCGCTCGCTCCACTTCCAGAGCCAGAGGATTGTCAGCAGGTCGCTGGCGTGCTTCGTCATCGACACGACATGCCCGCCGAGGCACGCCATGCCGTGCCGCCGCGCCGCCCGGCGCAGCACGCGGAACAATTCGAGCGTCTCTTGGGCCGTATCGGAGAGGCCCACCGGGTCGAGGTTCGCCGCGATCGGCAGCGTCTCGACCAGCAGCTCGCAACGGCGGTCCTCATCGATCGCTTCGTCCGGCTTGACGAGGCCTATCGCGCGCCACACCTCGACCATCACGCCGGCGTACAGCTCCGAGTGCTGCCGCACGTCGAGCCGCGCCATGTGGAGGCCGAACGTGGCGATCTGGTCGAGCCAGGGGTCGATCTCGGTCTCGGCGACCTCGAGGTCGCCCGACTCCACCAACGCGTCACGCACCCGTCGCACATCGGCAGCGAGTTCCTCGGCGGAGCGATAAACGGGGGACGGCCCCAGTCCCTCCGGCGCGTCCGCAAGCGTCTGCTCGATCCGCCAACCGACGATCCGCAGCCAACGCCGTGGCGCCTCCAGCGGCGGGATTGGTTCGAGCAAGTCCGGCAGTTCCGGCCATTTGGCGCACGCCGCGGCGATCGGCTCGAACAGCGCATCGAGCGGCGGCGCCTGGCGAACCGAGATGCTCACCGACGTGATCNNGGGCCGCCTTCCGCAGATAGCCGAGCGTCTGCTCGGTGATCTCGGGCGTCACATACGGATGGCCGTCGCGGTCGCCGCCCATCCACGAGCCGAATCGCAGCACGCCGCTCGTCGCGACCGCCACGTCGGGATAAACCTCGGCGACCGCCTCACGCAATTCGCCGACGATCTGCGGCGCCGTGTCCCAGATCACAGGCATGAACGACAGGCCGCGATCGACCTCTTCGATCACCGTCGGCCGCGTCGGCCGGATGATGTCGGTCTGCCAGAGCTTCTCGATCTCACGCCGCACGAGGTCGCGCTGCGACTCTTCCTCACGCTGCGTGAGCGTATGCGTATCGAGGCGTAGCAAGATCTGCCGCAGCACCCGGAGCTTGCCGCGGATGCTCTTGCGCTTCGCTTCGGTCGGGTGGGCGGTGAAGACGAGCTCAACGCGGACGCGTTCGACCAGTTCGGCGACTTGTTCGGCGGGGACGCCCAGCTCCTTGAGCTTGCGCACCGCGTCGAGGATCGATTCTTTGCGGGGGTTGGGGTGCTCGTCGCGCTCGCGGTCGCGGAGCGAGCGGACGCGCTGGCGATCCTCGGCGAGGTTTGCAAGTTCGAGGAACGTGCCAAACGAACGGGTCAGCACCCGTAGCTGGTCAGCTGTCAGCCCGCGGAGCAGCGCGTCCAGCTCGTCTGCGGCGGCTAGGTCGCCGTCACAGAACCGCCGGGCGAGCCGGCGGACCGACTCCACCAGTTCGAAGGCCCCGTCGCCGGCAAACCGCCGGACGGTGTCGCCAAAAATACGGCCGAGGTCATCGATCTCACGCCGGAGTCGCTGTTCGGTCGCCATCGGCAAATCGCTGTTGGGGGTTCG